ATAAATAAAATCTTTAAAAATAAATAAATAAAAACAAAAAATAAATTCAAAAGACTACAAAATACCAAAAATACGTAAGAAAAGGATTAATATTCAGAATACATAAACACTCTATATTCAAGAATTAGCTCAAGTTCAAAAAAAAAAATGAACTCAAAATAAAAATACACAAAAGATATAAACAGGCAATTCATACAAGAAATTCAAACTGTCAATAAACATGAAAACGATTACTTGATTCAAGTAATCAAGGAGATGCAGCAATAATGTAGGAGACCTTTTCCTTTACCCTTTTCAGCTCCTAATACTTTTGACAATTTTTCAAATTGTCCAAGAGCTTTGACATTTTATATTCCTTATTCCACACCTATTCACTTAACATATATAAAAAAGACAGGATCACCACCTGACAAGCTTCCTGCGTCCACCTCGCCACTCAGCACTAACACGCCAGCAGAGAACTAACACCACTGCCACAGCTCCCTCCCACCCCCCAGTAAGAGCTGTGCAACTCACACTGTAACCTCCTACACCGGCATCAGCTGGAGACTGATTAGACTTTGATTCCCAAACCCCTCCTGGACCTATTAAAACAGCTCTGTCTGCACAAGTAATTCACATGCACATGAGAGCTTGAAAAGCACTAGACTGAAAGATTCCTCTCTAGGAAATGTGACTGGTGCCAAAGTAATAACCCACACAGTATCGATACTGACATTTGAAGGCTTCCCCATCACTCTACAAATGAAACCCAGCAACTGAGCCACCCACCACACCGGCCTTCCAATCAGCTTTTTAATGTTTCATTTTCAAACAGTGACAGGCACCCAAGGATCCTCAGTCATTCGAAGAATGCCTTTAACGTAAAAGAGGCTAAAATCAAACAAAAATCAAAACACATCCTCAAGAGGGAGATGATGTAAGGAATAAAAGAAAAATACTTTAAATCCTTTAATTATCTTCAGAGAGTTAGAAAATATTATATCCATGAAAGAAACATGGTGCAACAAAAAGAAAATTAAGAGAAGAAAAACAAAGCTCCCAGAAGTTAAAAAAATGGTTAGAGAAATTAAAAAATTCACTAGACGATGTGGAAGATGAAACTGAGACAATCTCCCCAGTAACAAAAGAAAAGGACAAAAGGGGAAATAAGAGAACAAATTTAAGGGATATAACATCTAAGTAATAATAGGTTGTCCTTAGAGAAAGGTCAAAGACAACAGAGGGATGAAATTGTCAAATACACACTAAAAGAAAAATGAAGAACACAGAACTCCCAGGCTAAACGGTCCCCTGTGCGCCAATGTAATTCACTGACTAAATAAAAAATGCACTGGATATTTTAGAACATAAGGTTAATTAGTACTGAAAGCTAAGAACCAATGAAACAGAAACAAATAAATAAACCAATAAACCAATGCTTCAAAACCCTGAGGGAGAATTATTTCCAACCTAAAATTATCTTCAAACTATAAATCAACTGTGAGGATACAATAAAGGTGCTAGTAGACAAGCAAAATCTCACTAAATTTACCATCCTCATACTTTTCTTAGGAAGCTACCGATTGGTGTGTTTCACAAAAAAGAAGAGAGTAACCCAACAAAGAGAAAAATGGGATCCAAGACATAGAGGCTCCATCTGACAAGAGAATTTTCAAAATGATAATGAAAGAAAATCCCAGGATCATTGCTGTTCAGCAGATCCTGGAAGAAAGTTGAGAAATCCTCCAAGAAATAGATGAAACTGGAGGGAAGCCTTCAAGAAATAAATACAACTGATTAACTGATGTGCCCCAAAATAACATGCTACCGTGAGGGTGAAAATGAGCTAATGATAGGTATATACAAAACTAAGCAAATGAACAAAAAGGCAATTACACACCCCAAGAAAATCAGTTTTATGCCAAGAAATAATAAAAAACCTGGTAGAGCACAAGGCTCATCTGTAATAATATTTAATGCAAACAATGAATAGTCCTTCATCAAAAACTGTGATGTACCAATATTGGGAGAATGGAGAGGGGAGAGGCTAGAGGCCGAGAGCTAAATCCTCATCTTCCATAGTAGGAAGTCAACAAATAGTACCTAAAATGGTGAGGAATGTAGATACTAGACTTTTCAAGGAATTTTTAATCAAATCAGGCATGCAAGATTTTAATACATAAACTTTAAACAATGATTAAAGAGTAAAATAACTGCACAAGAGATACCATAAGACACCATGCAATTACTGGTCAAATGAGTTGGATAGTGTTGGCAAGGCCTGGTGGAAGAGAAGAGATTTCAGTTGGGCCTTCTAGGAAAGGTTAGATTTGGACAGAAGAGGGTGGGGGAAGGGAGATGGGCAGATGACAAGACCAAAGGCTAGGAGAAAGGGCAGTGAAAGATTTAGAGGATTTAACATACTAGGGAATAATGGCTGATAGAGGATATGGGCCAAAGTATCTTAATAGCAGCATAAGGATGCCAAGAATGAAGCTGGAAACAATATCCTATGGGACTATAGTGTGGATGAGCTCAGGCTCAGATCCAACCTATTTCTCAACTGTAGAGCCTACCTCACATTGTTAAAAAAAAAAAAATCCAACACTGTGTAGAATGTGAACAGAGCCTTGAACATTAGTAGCCCCTATGTGAAGTACTTGACATTATGAACTCTCATCCAGACAGCATTTTAAAAATAGACTGGCATGGTCCCCACCCCAGACCTAGTGGGTGAGAATCTCCACAGGTGTTTCTGACAGTCATCAGTGGAGAAAACTACTGCCACATGTAAATGAAGACACCTACCGAACCTCTAGCCAGGTGACCTATTCATCTATACTTGGTGCCCCAAACCCTCCTTCAAATTCTAAGCCTCTATCACCACCTCATCTGCTGAGTCTTGCCTTTCATGTGTTATTTCAAATTCAACTTGTCTGAAAACGCAAAACCATTTCCCTCTTCTGACCATAATTCCTACGAACTGTACCTCACCTCTACTCACCAGTAAGTTCACAAAGCTGAAAACTGAAGAGTTACATTTAACTTAATTGCTGTTACTTAATACCCCCTTCCATGCTACCCAAATGTTCTTAGTTGGTATCTTTTCCATTCTCACTTCCCACTCTTACCATCCCACACTTGATCTACTACAACCACCTGGAATCTAGCTTCTCTGCCTTGTTCGGTTTTGTTTTGTTTTTTAATGGCTTCTCTGCCTTTGAACCAGCTCCTTTCCATTTACTCTACACAATGCTGGCAGATGACCTTTTCCTAAAGCATTATCTTGGTGACTTTATTCCCAAGACATTACCTTTAGTGGCGTTCTCCTGTTTACGACATAGAATCTAAAACTCCAAGAAAATAGTTTTAATACAGTAGAAAAACACTGTCCCAGAGGGCGCCTGGATGGCTCATTTGGTTAAGCGACTGCCTTCAGCTCAGGTCATGATCCTGGAGTCCCAGGATCGAGTCCCACATCGGGCTCCCTGTTCAGCAGGGAGTCTGCTTCTCCCTCTGACCCTCCCCCCTCTCATGTGCTCTCTCTCTCTCTCTCATTCTCTCTCAAATAAATAAATCTTAAAAAAACAAAACAAAACAAAAAACACTGTACCAGAATTCACAACAGTATAAGAACTTCCCTGCCACTCATTAGCTGTAAGACCATGAGCATCATCATCCTAGGGTCATCTGCCTAAGTTGAATCAATTCAACATTTACTGAACATCTACTACAAAGCTTATCATAGGATTAGACACTTGAACTAGTGGAGTTGTCTGAGATTTTTACCTATGACAGTTAAGGCCAGACTCTTAAGATACTCTGGCCCATATCCTCTATCAGCCATTATTCCCTAGTATGTTAAATCCTCTAAATCTTTCACTGCCCTTTCTCCTAGCCTTTGGTCTTGTCATCTGCCCATCTCCCTTCCCCCACCCTCTTCTGTCCAAATCTAACCTCTCCTAGAAGGCCCAACTGAAATCTCTCTTCCACCAGGCCTTGCCAACACTATCCAACTCACTTGACCAGTAATTGCAGGCTATCTTAACAGTATCTCTTGTGCAATTATTTTACTCTTGTATCATTGTTTAAAGTTTATGTATTAAAATCTTGCATGCCTGATTTGATTAAAAATTCCTTGAAAAGTCTAGTTTAGTACCTACATTCCTGTGTCCAGTATCAAATTTGACCTACAGCCAAGAACACAGTCTTGATTTGTCCAACTCTAATGCGTTTCCAACAATAAGAAGTTACCCCTCCAGTACTATGGAACCATCAACATTACTCACCACTTTACTTTGCATGTCTGTGTATTCCATTCCACAATATGTTTATCATCTGAACAACTATACAAACAGCCATTGTCTTGATGCCACTGTATGCAATTAACCTTGTTGTCATGTCCACCACTCTACAGATTAAAAAAAAAAAAAAAAAAGATTAAAAGAAAAAAAACCGCGCCTGATATAACATAATTACGCATCCTAGAATCATTACTAACAGTTAACAAAAAAGATAGGCTTTAACCTAACTTAAAACACCCTAACCTATAGCTATCTATTTCCAACATCAAAAATGAGATAAATCATCTATAAATTCATCAAATGTTAACTTTCCCTTCTCTGTTGAAAAAATACACTTCCACATCGTAAGTCAAAGGATGCTAGTTCTAAATGCCACTTGCTTTTGACAGGAATGCCAGCACTGGGGCGCCTGGGTGGCTCAGTCGTTAAGCGTCTGCCTTCCGCTCAGGTCATGGTCCCAGGGTCCTGGGATGGAGCCCTACATCGGGCTCCCTGCTCCACGGGAAGCCTGCTTCTCCCTCTCCCACTCCCCCTGCTTGTGTTCCCTCTCTCACTGTGTCTCTCTCTGTCAAATAAATAAATAAATAAATAAGGAATGCCAGCACTAAGACAGAATACTTCATGTACAGTGGCAAAAGCTTATGACACTTGAGTGTACTAATAAAGTCAAATCTTGGAGTTTAAAGTATTAAGATAAAAATCACGTCTAGTCAAAACTATCTTTGAAAATCACAGTCACTTTTTAAAAAAACTACCAAAACTGGGGCACCTGGGTGGCTCAGTCGGTTAAGCATCTGCCTTCGGCTCAGGCCATGATCTCAGGGTCCTGGGATGGAGCCCTGAATCAGGCTCCCTGCTGAGCAGGGAGTCTGCTTCGCCCTCTGCCTCCCCTCCCCCCGTGCATACTCTCTCTCTGTCTCTCTCAAATAAATAAATAAAACCTTTAAAAAACAAACTATCAAAACTATCTCTCAATAAAGAAACCACTGTTTCGGGGTGCCTGGGTGGCTCAGTCGTTAAGCGTCTGCCTTCGGCTCAGGTCATGATCCCAGGGTCCTGGGATCAAGCCCCGCGTCTGGCTCCCTGCTCAGCAGAGAGCCTGCTTCTCCCTCTCCCTCTGCCTGCTGCTTTGCCTGCTTGTGCTCTCTGTCAAATAAATAAATAAAATCTTAAAAAGAAAAAAAAAAGAAAGAAACCACTATTTCTTCAGGTAAACACTAAGTATTTCCTTGTGTTATGGAAGATACCATATGAACAATACTCTAAACATATTCAACATAGCAAGATGCTCGCTCACTCAGCAGCAAACAGGAATGGAGACATCAACTGGGAAAGGGCAAGTTCAACTCTCCCACCCACCACACACACATTCCAGGACAAACTCATTCAGCAGAATAAGGTCCTAAAATAATTTACACTGTGAGCAATTGTGATTTTCACTCTTTCTACCTGAATTCACATTACAATTAAATGAATACATGAATCACCATCATGTATATATGTAAACTAAGGATAAAACTCAAAATCACTACTCTATTATATAGATTGCTCACTTTTTTTTTAAGATTTTATTTGTCAGAGAGAGAGAGAGCGCACAAGCAGGGGGAGTGGCAAAGTGAGAAGCAGGCTTCCCAATGAGCAAGGAGCCCAATGCAGGACTCGATCCCAGGACACTGGGATCATGACCTGAGCCGAAGGATGACGCTTAACCAACTGAGCCCCCAAGGCATCCCAAGAAAAATACTTCTAAATATTAAGTTCAGCTACTTCCTTTCACTAGTATGAGCTATCCATTCAAAGAACTAAGTCCTATATCATTGACACATACACAAGAACTGAATAAAGGATATTAACATAAATTCCATAGAAAAATTCAGTAAGAAAACAAAATTTTCAAAGTTAGTAATCCAAGAGATTAAAGCAAAACAAAGTAACATTTTCAGTCTGTCCATCTAGCATTTTGCTTATTAGCATTATAATACCCACACTGGGAAGGTTACAGAAAAAAATGGCACTATCATACATTGCTTGGAGCTATTATACCCATTTAAAAAACAATCTACCAACTGTCCATTCACTCATTCACTTACTCAACAAACATTTGCACAATACCAATTACATGTCAGGCACTGCACTAGGCACTTATAATATACTATTACATCTAAATCCCAAAAAAGCATGCAAGGTAGGTTACAGAATACCCATTTAAGAAATGAGAAGTTCAACTACTTACCCATGACCACATAACTAAAAGGACTCAACCTCAGGACAGAATAGTTCCAAAGCCTGATCCCTTTCTACTTCACCAATCATCCCAACACTCCTTACTCTGACCTTCTTAGTTATTTTTTTAATACATTCATTCCCTGTTAAAGATTAATGTATAATCCCATGAAGTACCAAAATTATCTAAAAAGGAGTTCTAGGTTTCATTAGCATTATGTCCACTGCCACAGTAGCTGAATAAAGCAGCTATCACACTGCTTGGATTGTAGGTACTTGCTCACCACAAAAGACTGATCAAATCAAAGGATGGGCTCCCAACCACAGTAGGGTAAAAGCCTACATGAGGACAATACTCGACTTGGAGAGGAGGAAGTAAGAGAAATTCCCTTCTTACTATCTATACATCTAAATGCTTTAATTTGTTTTACTGTTGTATAAAAATACTTTGAAACATACTTTGAAAGGCAGATTTGAAATCAGAATTTTTCATCTATCAAATCAGCTGAGCTTTTGTTAATGTTTTTGCTGTTTTAATGGGCATATCCAATGGTGGAAATAATGCTATTGGAATACAGGTACTCTTTCCATTGCTGATACAGAAAATCAAGAAAACTCTTCCAGAAACTATTCGTATACCATGCATAAAAAGCCTTAACATTAAAACCCTTTCACTCATTAATTACAGGTCAGTAATTTTGAGAATCCATGTAAACAGCAAACAAAATGTGTAACAACAAAAAATTAGAAAGCACCTTAATGGTCAGTAATAGTTAAATCACCATGGGACTATCCAATTTAGTGGGATTTTAGGGAGTCATTGAAAATGTTTGTAACTAGTTCCTGACAAACATGAAAATTGCTCATGTTGTAATGTAATGGAAAATATCAGGATACAAAATAGATGGACAGAACTCAACTGTATTTCTTAAACATGTAATAAAGAAATACACAATCTTATTAAACATCTCTTGGTGATAGATGTAAGAATAATTTTTTTCCCTTTTCAACATTATGTAGTTCCAAATTATCTATGGAGAATGTTACTTAAAATAGAAAACACTGTTTGATTCATATTTACAGAAAGCATTCCTATATAAAGACAGACGTTCAGTGAACACCAAACACATAATGTAATAGACAGTGTCTGAAACAAACTATGCTAAGTTAAATCACTGCTCTGTAGTGTCAAACTCTCACTTTGCTCTGTGATGCCAGGGCTGGGACTCCACAGACCACATCCCTGCTTTGCCAGCCAGATGGCCAGTAGGCTCCACCAATAAGGGCTGCTAGAGAGAGACAAGGCTGGAAGAGGAATTTGTTCTAGCCTGCTCCTACTGTGCTCCTTTTGGTAGCAGCTGAACCCAATACGAAATTGTTCCAACACCTGAGGAACTAGGCTCCTCCCCTCCCTTCAAGGACACCAGCAGTCAGTAAAGCTCTGTCCTCAGAGGTCTGGACCGCAAGCCCATGGGGCCACTCTTCCACCAGAGACAGCAGCAAAGAGAGCAACACCAGCTCCTCAAAGGTTTGAGTTTCAGCAGTTATCCCAACTGCCTCCTTTGTTCCCTAGCCCTAAAGGTGGTGAGCTCTTTCCTGCAGTCACAATTTGAGGTACCTAGAACTCTTCCTACCTTTTATTTTAAATCTAGTCAACAGTTCTTCATATTCTAACCTACAACAAAGATTACATTACCTATTATAGCTATTAACAATATTACTGTTCACAATTTTAAATGTGGGGGCAGAAAAATGCCCCTATAATACAGATCCTATAGCATTATTCGGTTTTGTTTTTAATAAATCTCTAATAATCAGTTTCCCATTTCTTTTATATACAATATACATCCATACACACACACACACTTATCTGTACTTACTATCAATTTACTGTGTAATTCTCCTTTTACTGTACTGTATAATAAAATACTACCAACTGCTGTACCAAGAGCCAACAAGTCAATCTGGTTACTCGTTCCTATAGCTTCTGATTTCCTTTTTTTCCTCTGGGGACTTTCCTGGGGGGGAAAAAGAAAAGGTTCATTTTGTATTTCAAACACAAGACATCATTAATGCATAAATGCAAATGCCCACTAACCCACAAATGAAATGTGACCGCTACCAAAAGACACTTAAAGACTGGGGGAGGGAGGGCAGATGACTCACTCTCAAATGCTTTCTTTCTATTTGGGGAAAAAAAAAAATCACTCCAATGGAAAGAAGAGCTTGTAATTCTCTGTCCCTGTCCCCTACCTCTCTGGAAGGAAGGCGACAAATAGGACATGCTCCCAGTATTCTCTTAAAAGGTCCAAGCAGCCTCACTGCTGCTTCCACTTCTCAGAAATGAACCACTCGTGACAGGTCCAAGTGAAGCCGCCACTCCCAAGCAGAGACTACAGATCCACAGCCAAGCAACCAACACTTTCCCTTTTTCCCTCTTCATCTTCCCTTGTGCTCTAGCTTCATTCTCAGGAAAGGGGACTCAAATGTTTTTATAAACACACATTTATTTCAGTCTCAGTCAAAACATAGTTGTAACTAGCAGAGCATACTAGAAGCTGCTCTAGTGTGTGAGAATTAAGGGTTAGTCTGAAAGTTCCATGCAGTCTTGGTGATCCTCATGACAAGAGGCACAAGTTCCAACCCAGTGTCAAATGCCACAAGACTGCTTTGATTTACTTCAAAAACAGAACTAACAGCTGTTAGTCCAAAGACAATCAATGATGACGACTTCAGGGTATTTCATCAAAGTTTACAATGCTGAAAATGTATAATTTTAGAACTTCTCTTCCATATGATGTTGTTTTTTTTTTTTTAATTAAAGCGTGCCAGCCTGTGCTTTAGCAGAAAGCTGAGATACCCATTCTTTTAACATAAAACAGACCACTCACTACCACAGGAAAAAGAACAGCTTCCCAATAGTGCAAGACCTTTGCTCTACAGCACAAAGCAGCAGGCCAAGATACATAAAAATGTGCCCAACCCGAAAACCACCAATGAAAATTATGTTACAAGTGTATAAAGAATATCAAGGAGTAGGGGCGCCTGGGTGGCTCAGTCGGTTAAGTGTCTGCCTTCGGCTCCGTTCGTGATCCCAGGGTCCTGGGATTAAGCCCCCCACTGGCTGGGCTCCCTGCTCAGTGGGGAGCCTGCTTCTCCCTCTGCTGGCCGCTCCCCCTGCTTGTGCTGTCTCTCTCTGACAAATAAATAAAATCTTAAAAAAAAAATAAAACCTATTTAAAAAAAAGTATCAAGGAGTAGATTTATAAAGCATTTTCCATTTTTTTTCGTTTAGTTAATCTTATGGAGATGTTACATTTGAAGAATTTTATTCACGTGACACACTTCAACAAAAACTAAAAAGATTTAACAAAAAATAGTAACTTTTTATATAGAGAAAAAAACACACATTTTGTAAGTCCTAAGAAATATATCTACATTAATAAACCCCAAAGAGAAGTTACAATTAAAAGCCAAAGTATAAAAAAATATGATGGTCTTATCAGTAACATTTAATTTGCTTGAAACACTGAAACCTTAGCACAAGCAATGTCCTAGGTCCCACCTTCAGTTCAGTGAATATCTAAAGCCACCTCTAAATGATCCCACAAGGCAGATGTGGTTTCAGCACAGGGTTATGAACACAAACACCTATTTCAGGCAAGAGCAGTTGGGGAAAGTATACCAACCCCCTACTACACCTCATCAGAAAACTCTTCTCTCAAAGATCCTAGAAATTATTTCTCCAACTCTTGGTTTTCCCAAATCAAGTTAAAATCATCTCACACTGAGGTTTCTAATGCGTGAAACATAGGCTGGTCCAAATATGTGTATGTTTTTCTGCAGATATGAATTTGCATTAAAAAGCACAAAAAGGGGTGCTTGGCTGGCTGAGTTGGGAAAACATGCAACTCTTGATCTTGGGTTATGAGTCCAAGCCCCACACTGGGTGTAGAAATTTCTTAACAAAATTTAAAAAAATTAAAAAATAAAAAGCACCAAGAAATTTTAGATATTAATCCTTAACATATTCAAACCCTAATTTCCCTATCAACAAAATCTGTGTATTTCGGGAGAACCAAGCAGAGGCAAGTGGAGGAGCATCCACAGAACTTATGCCCAATTTTGAGGATCAGTGGTCTAAGCCTAAATAATAACACAATTAATGCATCTCAAAGAACTACTGACTCATGCATATTTTCTCAGAGCTGGACGACCTTTTTTAAAAATCACTTCCCAGTTAGCAGGATGAGCATGTCTGAACAGGTCAACCAGATAAGTTTATATAAGCAATGTGCATTTTAGTTAAAATCTATTTTAAATATTACCCCGTCACCAAATAGTTCTGAAACCAAGAATTTAGTGCTGATGATTATAGATTTTGACAGACCTTTGTCAGCATTTTCTTTCTGAACCTGTTGCTCCTGTGATCAAAAACTTCAATGACTAAAGAGAAGACTAAATCAATACAAGCAACTCTCTGGCATTCAAAAGCATCTGCAATTTGCCTCCAGACCACCCTTTTCCAACCTTATTTCCAATTCCATCTTTATATTACACTCCCTAATCACTAACACTTTCCCATTTTGCTTCTGCTTTTCCCTCAACTGGAGGGGTCTTTTCCTGCTCACCTCAGTTTTCTTTTGGTTAAAAATCTATCCATGCTTCAGGGTCCACCCCAACTCTCATCTCCCAACAAAAACCTCTTCTCTTTTTATTTAAAGACTTTATTTGAGAGAGAGCGCATGGCGGGGGGGGGGGGGAGGCGTGTTGGCACAGGGAGAAGCAGACCCCCACTTAGCAGGGAGCCCAGTGCAGGGAGGGCTCTATCCCAGGACCCTGGGATCATGACCTGAGCTGAAGGCAGACGCTCAACCGACTGAGCCACCCAGGCGCCCCCTCTTCTTTCCCTTAAGGCACACATCATACTGCACACTGCATTACAGACACGGTATATCTGAATTATCCACTTCTTCCTTGATGTGTCTCAGTCATACTCAGTTTTACTTCCTCTGAAGTACCTAGCACAAGATCAAGTGCATACTCACTATACACATAAGTACATAAAGTAATGAAAAGGGTAGGCTAAAACTTGAGTTCATATCTGTGACTGAAAAATTGGAGTTTCTAGAGGTACCAGGAGTGAAGACACAAAAAAATGTGATTTCTTAAAGAGTCTTTTTCAGTATGAAAGTCTGACTAAGCTAAGCAATAAAGAGTAGCACCAGTCTGAAAAAGTTTATCAGCATTTGATCCAGAAGGCAATCAGAAGGCTGACTGACAGTCTCAAGGGGCTAAGTGCATGATTTACAAAAGCAAGACACAGGGCAGATGTAGTGAAAAGAGAGAGGAAAAAAAGGGCATCCAAGTGATGAGAAGTCTGAATTTGATCAATTAAGCAATGACTTTTTAGACTGAGATCCCAGAGTAAAGAAAGTTTACATGGAGAGCTAGTACACACACTCATAAAAATATATGTATATACAATGGAATATTATGCAGCCATCAAAAGGAATGAGATCTTGTCATTTGCAACGACGTGGATGGA